AAAATAAAATAAAATAAAATAAAATAAAATAAAATAAAATAAAATAAAATAAAATAAAATAAAGTAGAATAAAATAAAATAAAATAAAATAAAATAATAAAATGAAAAGCTGCCTCAGCCCTTACCCAGGGTAGCCAGGACGTGGCGCAGCTCAGCCCCCATGACCGTCCCGTTGCCCTCCTTGTCGAAGACCCGCAGCCCCTCCACGAAGTCCTCGTAGGTGCCCGTGTCCTTGGTCTTGGCGATGTGCTGCAGCATGGGCAGGAAGGTCTCGAAGTCAATCATCTTGGAGTTCATCTCTGCAGGGACACGGAGCACAGCAACGTTTGCCTGGAGGCTGTGAGAGCTGAGGGGTCACCAGGGGACACCCACCATGGGACATCAGCCATGGGACATCAGCCATGGGACATCAGCCATGGGACACCCACCATGGGACATCATCCATGGGACATCATCCATGGGACATCAGCCTTGGGACACCCACCATGGGACATCATCCATGGGACATCAGCCATGGGACACCCACCATGGGACATCAGCCATGGGACATCAGCCATGGGACATCAGCCACGGGACACCCACCATGGGACATCAGCCTTGGGACACCCACCATGGGACACCCACCATGGGACATCAGCTATGGGACACCCACCATGGGACACCCACCATGGGACATCAGCCATGGGACACCCACCATGGGACATCAGCCTTGGAACACCCACCATGGGACATCAGCCATGGGACATCAGCCACGGGACACCCACCATGGGACACCCACCATGGGACATCAGCCATGGGACACCCACCATGGGACATCAGCCTTGGAACACCCACCATGGGACATCAACCATGGGACATCAGCTATGGGACACCCAAAATGGGACATCAGCCATGGGACATGCACAATGGGATATCAGCCATGGGATACCCAGCATGGGACACCCACCATGGGATATCCACTGTGGGATACCCACCATGGGACATCAGCCATGGGACATCAGCCTTGGGACACCCACCATGGGACATCAGCTATCGGATACCCATCATGGGACATCAGCCATGGGATATCCACCATGGGACACCCATAATGGGATACCCACCATGGGATATCCGCTGTGGGATACCCACCATGGGACATCAGCCATGGGACACCCACCATGGGATATCCACTATGGGACACTCACTGTGGGACATCATCCATGGGACACCCACCATGGAACATCAGCCATGGGACACCCACCATGGGACGTCAGCCATGGGACATCCACAATGGGATATCCACTGTGGGACACCCACCACAGGATACCCACCACGGGACATCAGCCATGGGACATCATCCATGGAACACCCACCATGGGATATCCAGTATGAGACACCCACCATGGGACACCCAACATTGGACAGTCACCATGGGACACCCACTATGGGACATCAGCCATGGGACACTCACTGTGGGACAACCACCATGGGATACCTGCCATGGGACATCAGCTATGGGACATCAGCCATGGGACACCCACTGTGGGATATCCACTGTGGGATACCCACCATGGGATATCCACCATGGGACACCCAACCATAGCACACCCACTATGGGACACCCACCACAGAACACTCACTGTGGGATGTCCACTGTGGGATACCCACCATGGGATATCCACCGTGGGACACTCACCATGGGACATCATCTATAGGACATCCACCATGGGACACTCACCATGGAATACCCACCATGGGACATCCAGTATGGGACACCATCCAAGGGACACCCACCATGGAACACCCACTGTGGGACATCATCCATGGGACACCCACTATGGAACACACACCATGGGATAACCAGTATGGGACACCCATCATGGAAAACCCACAGTGGGACATCATCCATGGGACACCCACTATGGGACACTCAGTGTGGGACACCCACCACCCCATCCACCATGGGTACAAGAACTGTCCCAAAATTCTGGCTAAAGGGGAGAGAAGAGCATAGAAACAGGGAGGTATTTCTGCAAATATCCCACACCTTCTCACACATCCTGTGTAGAACAAGCTGTGCCCTCACAACCAGTCCATCCCTTCGTTTTTTGGGATGGTTTTGGAATATCCATGGTTTTTGGTAAACACACACAAATTCCTGCCATCAAAGCAATTTTAAAAGGGAAAAACTTGAAAATGCAAAACACATTGAGGTACAGGGTTAAATTAAACTCTTCTCCTCAATTTGTTGACTGCAAGGCCACTTCTTTCCTCATTTATTTTTCTGATTCACAGCCCTTGTCATTCCAAAATTAATGTCTCTGTCAGAAAAATGGAGAGATCTCACAGATAATTCTTGGAGTGACCTTTTCCAAAACACACACACACACACACACACAATGGGAGGGCACCAACCTTCTGGTTTGGGTCTGCCCAGCAGCTTCATGACCTCAGCCTGGGTGGGGTTCTGCCCCAGAGCTCTCAGGACATCCCCACATTGGGCATAAGTGATTTTCATCTCCGATTTCGGGGTCCGGTCGAAGAGGGAAAACGCTTCCTTAAATTCTGGGAGGCGAAAAGAGAAGGAGAAACTCATTCCAAAGACAAATCTGCCTGAGCCTTTCATCTTTGAGTTTGGGAACAGCCTCGATGAGCTTTGTTGCCTCTGTTATCTGCAGGGTTTGTGCTCCTCCTCCCCTGGGTTTTCTGGTTCCATCAGGGATGGGATGGGAGAGGTCAAATGTTTTTCTCCTGGTATTTCCTCCTGAGTGAAAGTGCAGAAAACAGGACAGGAATGGTTGGCCTTGAGAGCTTTCCAGCTCCTCGGGAACACTCAGGGAGGCCCAGGATTCAGCAGGAATTCTGCTCCTGGGATAACTGGATATTGTGTTAAACGTGAGGCACTCGGAGAGCAACAGCCCCCAGAGGTGAAGGAGCATCTCCATCAGCAGGGAACAAGATATTCCATGAGGAAATACTGGAATTGTGAACAAAAAATGCCATCATGAAATATGGGAATTATGAGCAAAATATGTCATGATCAAATACTGGAATTATGAACAAGATATGCCATGAGAAAATACTGGAATTATGAGCAGATATGTCATGATGAAATATCAGAATTATGAACAAGATATGCCACGATCAAATACTGGAATTATGAGCAAGAAACGCCATGATCAAAAACTGGAATTATGAGCAAGATATGTCATGAGCAAATACTGGAATTATGAACAGGATATGCCATGATCAAATATAGGAATTATGAGCAAGATATGCTACAATCAAAAACTGGAATTATGAACAAGAGATACCATGATGAAATACTGGGATTATGAGCAAGAAATGCCATGATTAAAAACTGGAATTATGAACAAGAGATGCCATGATCAAAAACTGGAATTATGAGCAAGGTATGCCATGAGTAAATACTGGAATTATCACCCAACAAGTGGTTGGTGAGGGAAGGTGAAGGTATATGGAAAACCTTATCCCAGAGTCCCAGAACTGGTCAGGTTGGAAGGGACCACTCTGGGTCATGTGGTCTCTCTCAAGACAGCCAGATCCTCTCCACAACATCCTTGGGAACATCCTTGGGAACATCCTCATGTCTCCTCTTCTGGCCCTAAATTGAGGCTCTTACCACAGCAGCATCCTGGTAGGAACATTCCCGTGGGAGATGGTCCCTGTTCTGCACCCAGTTCCCTGTGGATGTGGTGCCTGGGGACATGGCTTAGTGCTGGACTTGGCACTGGTGGGTTGGTGGTTGGGCTTGATGATCTTCAAGATCTTTTCCAACCTAAATAATCCCGTGATTCCAATGGAGTCAGGGCAGGAGCCCAGGACACACCAGTTCCTCAGGTCCCCTCTCCCTGCTGGAGCTGCAGAATCAGAGGAACACCTCAGGGTGCAATAATAGGCTGTTATCCTTTCCTACCCTCCTTGATCCTTTACCTCTACTGTTATCCTTTATCCTTTACTCCATAGAACCCCACCCACAAATATCCCCTTGGCTTTAAAGACCTGAATCCCTGAATCCCACCCTTGTCCTGCTGTTGCTTTTCTGCACATATTCCCCTCCCAATTTCCACACATAGTGAGTTCATCCCTCTTTTCCCGAGGTCCTGACCCTTTCAGCCACTCAGCCCTTCACTCTGCACACCCGATTTTCTCCATCTTTCCCTTCTCAATCCCTTCTCCTCCTCATTATCCCACTTCCCCCTTTTTTTCCTCTCCTTTGCTTATTCCCCTCTGTTCCTCCCTCAGGATTTGCTTCTCCTCCTTTCTCCCTCCCTTTTCATTTTTATCATTCCACTCACATCTTACTCATCTCCTTCCTCATCCAAGACTTTCGAACAACATTTTCTCCCTTGGGACTAATTAACATTCCCCTCGTTTTCTTCTTTGCATTCTCCTCTCCTGGCTCTTTGCTCCTGTCCCTGGTCCCTTTGCCAGCCCCTCACTCCAGCAGAGGGCAACCTTGGATTTTCCAGGGCTCCTGGCTGGCAGCGGGAAGGGCTCAGAGACCCTTTCCCAGGCCTGTCCTGGTGGGCTCAGCTCCTGAGGTGAAGGACAAACCCACTCACCCCCCCGAGCTCCTCATCCACCCACCACTCCCCTCCTCCCTGGCCCCGATTGCCTGAGCAACCCCCAAACCTTCCCAACCCATCCCAGTCACTGCCAGCTCACATTTCCATTTTTTTCCTTTCTATTTCTATTTTTTTTTATCATTTACATTTGCTGACTTGATGCAAATCCCCATCAAAGCAACCAAAGCAGCCTGGCCAGGGTGTCCTCTGCCCTCCTGCAAGCCCCGAAACCGCGGGCAGCAGCCATGGATATTTTCAGCTGGCTAATTACTACCCCTCTGCTCATCTTGAATAGCTCCTGTTCTGCCCTTTTCAGCAAATTTCGGGGCTCAAGAGGCCAGAAAGGCAGTTTTATAAATAAATGTGGCCACAAGGGCTGGATTTCACTGGTGGTTGAGGGCACGGAGAGGTGGGTGTGGAGCTTTGCCCACAGCCCGTTCTGCTCCTGAGAGCAACAGTTTGGGGACCAACAGGACAATGAATCCCTTCAGGGACCCCTTGGAGCATCCAAGTCTTCTCCTGAGCAAGAGGAAGGGGTTTGGAGTGTTCTAGAAGGGTTGGAAAAGACTTTGAGGTGCTGCAGCCTCTGTTTCTCCTCCACCAGCTCAGTTCAGAGTGAGCTGCCAGAAACCAGTTGGGTCAATGGAGAAGATCAGTGACATCTAAGGGAGGGTGGAATTCCCACTGCTCTGGGATCAGCTGAAAAATTGGGAAGTATCCAGTCTCACTGGGACACCTGGGTACTCCCTGGGTCAACAGACAGAGGAGAGGTGACTATCAGACATTATTATATATATTCATATATATATAAGTATATATATAATATATGTGATATATATATAAAATATATTATATATATGAATATATAAAATATATAAAAATATATAAAATATACAGAATATGTTTATATATAAAAATATATATTAATATATATATAAAATATATATAATATATTTTATATATACAAATATATATAAAAATATATAAGGGCTGTTGCATCTTATTTTTTTATTTCATTTTATTTATATATAAATATATAAATATAAATATGAATAAATATATATGTTTATATATAAGATATAAAATATATTATATAAACATTTATATATATATTATACATTATATAAATAGATATAAATAGATATTATATATAAATATATATTATGATATATTATGTGTTGCATAAAATATATTTTATAGATTTTAAAATATATAAATATATATTAATTTAATATTAATTAATGTATATTAATTTAATATATAATATTATCTATTAAATATTATCTATTATATTATATATAATATATTACACATATATACATATTATATGTATATATATAATATAATATATATGTAATATAATGTATGTTTTATATATTATTATATTATATATAATGGATATTATATATAATATATCACATAGTATACATTATATGTTATTTATTATATTATATATTTTTATATAGAATATATATTTTTATATATAAAATATTATTATAGATATTATTATACATCTATTGATTAAAAAACCCTACATATAAAGGTGTGACAGGTGACCTTGACCTCCTGATGACTTCCTGGAAGAGGAAATTTGGCAAAATAAAGAGTGCACAGCAAAGCTGGAAATGAACCCAAGAGCAACCAAAACCCAGAAAAATGGGAGACAAACTCGACCAACCCCAAGCTCTGGAATTTGGTTGTCAATCTTCTCCCACTGGGGCCACTCCTGGACAAGGATTTGACCTGCACAAAAGAGCCCAGAGGGAATTCCAGACCTGGAGCAGCTCGGCTTCACCCGGGAGGAAAATCCGGACTTAACAACTCTCAGTGGGTCTGACGACTCCTCTGGGAACCAAAGAACCTCCCGAGGAAGAGGGAAAAAGGGAAAAGAAGCAGCAAAGGGGAGGAGGAACTCAGCTGAGGAGCTGCTGGATGAGCAGGGCTTTCCTGCTCAGCCCCCAGGTGATGTCCAGGCCGTTGGACACTCATGGAAGAACCTCAGGAACAAGTGTGGGATTAACCCCGAGCGGAATTTGGGTTCCTCCCCAGCACCAGCACACAGGGGGTGACTCTGAGACGCTGCTGGAGCTGCTGGGGAGGGCTCAGACCCTTTCTCACAGCCGTTATTTCCTTCCTGCCCCTTGATTTCCCCTCTGGAATTTCAAGGACATCCCATTCCCGAGTCCTGCATTCCCAGTTTTCCCCAGAGGGTGCGACAAGAGCGAAAGTCAGCTGCAAAAGGAAAAGAAAATGAGGAAGAAGGCAGAGCTTTTTATTTCTAGAGACGTCCTGCATCTGCTCTGCAATCCTGGAGTCATTTAGGTTGGAAAATCCCTCCGGGATCGTGGAATCCAACCATTAAACCAGCACTAAAAAGCCACTACTAACCCACGTCCCTGAGTGCCACATCTCCAGGTGTGCTTTAGAGACCTGATCCCTTTTTGACCACCCTGGATTCCCTCCAAATCTGTCCTTTCCCAGCCATCCCAGTGGGCTGGTGGCCAGACAATCATCCCAGTTGTTTCTGAACGTGTCTTTTCCCATTCCCTGGTGGAATCTCTGGAGCTTGTTCTCCTCGGGCAGAGAGAAAACGAGGCACTAATAAATGAGGAGAGTCCTTTCCAACCCCCCAAAACTTCAGCTGAGGAGACATCCAGATGTTTTGTGCTGCTGGAACGATCCCAAGGTTTGGAGCTCAGAATTGTGCCTCTCCTACGGTTCTCCCGTGACTTTGGGACTTCAAAAGGGACAAATTCCCCAAAATTAAAAGCTGTGTCCAGTCTTGGGTTACTTTTGAGCTGTTGTTAGAAAATAGAAACTAAAGCCATTAAAGGGGGGCTTGAAAATCCATAATGTTGGAAGTCTGTGGCAAAGCCTGAGGATCCAGGACATTATGGCATTTTCCAGTACAGAAAATCCCTCCTTCTGTATCTCTCCTCCCTGATTGATTTATTTTTTCCTGTTCCAATTAGCCCATTTACTGATACCATCTTTTCCAGGCTCTGCC